GACTTGAATTAACGTAATCCGAGGGCTTGAAAGCTTTTTCCCGGATCAAACGTCGAAATATCCCAAGAACGCGAAGAACACGAATCCTTGGTCTTCGTCGCAAAGTTGATCTTGAATCTTCTTCACGCCGGATTTGAATTTACTAACGTTATTCGGAGGCTTCGCAGCTTGTTTCCGGATTGAACGCTAGTCTTGAGGTTGAACGCGCTTGAATCTTGTTTTGAGTCTTCAAGAACGCCTTTAAATCTTCAAGAACACTTGAATCTCGTCGAGAGATCTTGGACTTGAGCTTGAATATGAACGCAATTCGGAGGCTTGACGGCTTGTTTCTGGATTAAACGTCGGTTTTGAGCTTGAATGTGCTTGAATCTTCCTTCGAATCTTCAAGAACGGCTTCGAATCTTCAAGAACACTTGAAACTTGTAGAGAGAATTCTCTAGAGCTCTTGAACTTGAATTTGAATTATGAGATGTTTTTGACATTAGGGAGAGTCCCTATTTATAGGTGTAGGAGAGAGCACCCTACCAAATTTAAGAATCGTAGGACGCGATTTGATTGGTCCATGATGATTCACATAAGATCTTTAAGATCTACTTAGATCTCCCAAGATCTTCTAGATCCACTTAAATCTTCTAAGATATTCTAGAAGATATGATTTATTTACTAAGAATAAGGATTTTACACTTGACATTATTTGATTGGTCAAGAATTAAAATATTAAAATGTCAATTAATTAACTATTTAAATTTAGGAATTAAATATATGAAAATTCCTAAAATATAAATAGAAAATATAACTTGATTTTTAATAAATTAATTTCCACGTGGTGCGATTTGATTGGATACAACCTTTGTGGAATTTTCCAAATTAGGGATTGTAATATGTTCTTTTTGAATTTTTATATGGTTTTCTGCAAAAATGGAGAGAGAGAGTTGAGAATGAAAGAGAGAGAAAGAGTAAGAGAGAGTTGAGAGTGAAAGAGAATAATTTTGGTTGTAACAAACTCTGCTATTTCCCCATGATTTCACCTTAAGTAACTATTAATGTCTCGTAAGATTACTACTCACTAGGCGATAATGAACATAACCCAATTCGTTAAAAATAAAATAACTAAAAACGAAGTTGGCCAATTTAAAACCCAAATAAACTAATAAACTGTGATGAAAGAGTGATGTTTAGTTTAATCGAATCTGAAGAAGTTTTGAGGAAGACATCTCTTAAAGATATATATATATATATATATATATATTTAATATATTATATATATCACTTTAAGATATATATATTTGATATTAAGTTCCATCCAACCACCACGGTTATTTCTACAAACATTTTGGAGTAATCTATTTGATAAGCATAGAATATTCTCAAAAAAATTGTCATATGTGAAAATAACATGATTTTTCTAAAAACTTTTTTGATGTTAATATAAGAAAATTAAAATTAATGAATAGAGAGGTAAACAGTGCTAAATATTTGAAAATAGTAAATGGATATTATAAAAATACATCATCTATACTAATATAAAAAGATTGTTAGTAAAATCATTTTTAGTAACTTTGACAAAAATAATAAATGAGTTGACTTACTATTAGTAGAAATTTAAAAAAAAAATTAATACATGTAGATCTTTAATAACAAAATCTAAATCCTATTTTTTTGTAACAAATTTGGAGATTCTTATGCCAAAATCTAAATCATATTTTTTTCGTATCATTTTTTTTTTACCAAAATCATATATATTTTTTTTTTTGGTAATATGTTTGGAGATTCATGAAAACAAATCCGACTCTAAATTAATATAAAAAAATCGTGAAAATTGGATACAACATTAGAAAATAAATAGTTGTATAATTCATAACAAATTATTCTAATCTTTTTGAATAATATCTTCTTTAAAAAAATGTGTGCAAATTGGATAAATCCACGCACATTCGTTGTTATAAAACAAAATTGAAATTTGGACAGGATAGACATTCAAAATCGTATCCGTTTTTTGGCAACAAAATCGATTCATTTTTGACATTTTAAGATCAAACATTATCTAATTATTTAGGAAAGAAATTCAAATCAAATAGTATGCAACTTTTTAAAATTTAAATGCGTCGATATTTTTGGATTTTTTTTTTTTGTTAACTATGTTTTACCTATATTTTGGTAAGTTCATATGAATTTTTTTGTTAAGTTCAAGGAAATAAATAGCTCGCTAAAGTTGCCGCTATTTGAGAAATAGCTTTTTTTGGCAACGTGCCGCTATTTGTATTCATGTGCAATTTAGCCGCTAAATCCCGCTATACTCCGCTATAGCTACAGTGCCATAAACGTTTTAGCCCGCTATTTAAAACCTTGGTTAAGTTCATATCAATTTTCTTATGAAAGCAACAGTCGCATAATTTTTTTTAAAAAATACTCCGATCATTTATAGAATTAATTTCAATTCAATTTGTTGAGTAAAAAAATCGCTACAATGTTAGAAAAAATCAATTGCATTTTTAGGATAAATAGATGATTCTTTTCACTTTATTTTAACCAAACATTTGGATCAACTGGTTTGGTAAAAAAAATCGGTGTATTGGTAAAAAAATTTGGTTTCATTTTTAGGAAAAACTAGTGATTCTTCTTAATTTTACTTAATCAAAATTTTGGATTAGAATAAAAAAAATGGTGTGAAAAAATCCCTAGAAATATCTACTTTCTTTCTACTATAATTTAGTTTAATAAATAAGATCCTTCATCTTTTTTTAAAAATGTAATTTGTTAATTAAATAACTAATAATTCATAATTTTAGATAGAAGCAAAAGGGGCCTAGAACTTGAGAGAGAACAATTCGAACACTCATATAATATTTTACGTTCTAAATAATCAAACCAAGAATATTGTACATAAATTTTATTTTCATAATTTTTTTAAATGTCATGAGACAATTTAAATACAAAAATACATTTTAAAAATAAAGTAGGTAATAATGCTAGCATCACACGAGTATTTTACTAGTTAATAACAAAACAACTATAATATGCGTTGAATTTTTTCAATCAAATATGAAATAATAATGAGATATAATAAATTTGATTTAAAAGTGGATATTCCAATAGTATTTTTTATTTGAGAATAAGTATAACATTTTTTGCTATATAACCAATGATGACACAAGCTGTTCACAACCATCCATAAAATGATTCAATTATACTGTGTGACAATATAAATATAATACGAGAGAAATGCTAATCTACCCACGGTGGTCACATGTTAATATGTCCACCGTGTAGGTGGCATGCACTCATTGGTTATGTATTTTTTTAAACATATTAACATCACCAATTAGTGCATGTCACGTACACGGTGGAAATCACCGTGGGTAGAGGAGCATTTCTATATAATGAACATATCAATGCATAGCTCTATGTTGGTTCTTAAAGCCACTCCTCAATACCATAACCATCCGTCCAGTCACTCATATGACTTAAAAAACAAAAGAAACCAAATTATGCAGATTATCACACTCCCTATAACAACTCCTTTGTCACCAGCAGGTTCTTAAAACTCACACAGACCTTAATACACACAGAATACCCCAACGAAGCACAGAAAACAGAGAAAAAGGTAATGAAAGCCAACAAGGAAAAAGGGAAAGCAACAAACACACAAGTCTCGGCTGCCTAACGGAATCCCCCGTAAAATCACAGGCATACAGCAACGATATGAAACCAACTTTCGAGAAAAGGATATCGACAATGAATCACATTTTCAGACCAAAAGAACAGTTTCAAACTGCAAGCATAAGACCGACAAAATCACATTATGGCGAAAAATAATTCGAGAAGCAAAACTACAGAAGTTCCCTATCAGCTGACACACTAAACCTTCACAAAACCTGTGTGTGAGATACCCAATTGTTGGGTATCCGCCCGTCTAAGCCCGTTTGAAGCGGCGACACTCTTCGAAGGTAACGTGCCCGGTAGAGCCCGAACAGCTCCCGGTCAGTCCCGGGCTGACCTCGATCAGTCCTGGGCAGCAGCCCAGAGGTCCCGGACAGCACTCCAGTAGGATCCGAACAGCAGGGGCAAGGCCTGCAAGCAGCCGCTTCAGGACCAAACAAATATAGCAGCAAAGCCGCAGATTTGAGCAATTAAATGACACTAACCGCCCACGGCATAGCAACATTTTAATAGTGTATAGTACTGCAACTGAAACAGAAAACCTAGTTAGATTAAAAAAACTGAGAACTGAAGCTAAGAATATTAGACATAAAATAAATTAGGAGAGGATGAGATTGAGAAAGACTACACCCTTTTACGTAGACGAATTCGGGACGAACACGTATGGTGGTGTTGAATTACACAGGCTCAGACCCCATATATAATAATACCCACAAGAATCACAAAGAATCTAGCTCCGGGCCATGGCCATTCGAACCACCTTAAGGAGTGTTTCTGGGGCCATCCACAAAGGTCATTTGGGCCAAAAAAATAACACAAATTCAGGATTTTTCATAATTACCCATAGTTTCATCCATAAAATGACACAATCTGTTCACAACTATCCATAAAATGATTTAATTATACTGTGTGATAAAATAAATATAATCAATATATCAATTCATAATCAATATATCCTATAGTTAATAAAAAACGAAAAATTGAATGAAGATGGAGCAAGAGGCTGTGACCAGTAGAAGTAGAACAACCTTAAGTTTCTCTCTCACATTATAAGCAAAATAGTGAAAGCAAAAGGTAGTTAGTTGATGATGAGAAGTCAATAACGCGTTTTAGTAAAATCGACATAACTGATTATATAAGTTCAATGTGCTTTAAACTAGTGAAAGCTTCTCGAGAAATACCCAAAATACCCCC